CTCTCCAATCTTCGTATATATCCCACTCGATCATATAAAATACTCACACGCACACATGTGTTTCTGGTGTTAATTGAGGAGATGTATTATATTAAATGTAGGTCCGTATGTATATACATGTATTAGGACACACGTTCATAGGAATATAACACCTGGACAAAAGTTACTGTATAAACCGAGGACCTACATGTCCATTTTGTGTGCAATTAGAGTACCTGAATAGACGTATACCCAAACCGGGTTCTCTTACCGCGCTGCGAGGATCATGCCCTCTTTATGTAAACACCCACCCACGCATCCTCACACACTTGCAACACTACATATCCTGATATACAAACATCCATGTCTTTCTGTACCCCTCCCCCCCCCCTCCGGCCTCTCTATCTCTCTCTCTCATTCATCCACACCCACCCACGCATCCTCACACACTTCCAACACTACATACATATCCTGATATACGAACATCCATGTCTTTCTATACCCCCCCCCCCCCCCAAAAAAAAAAAAAAAAAAAAAAAAAAAATCCGGCCTCTCTCTCATTCATCCACACCCACCCACGCACTCCCATCACACCTCGATCTAATTTCTGTGTGAGTTTTCAATTTCGGATTGCTATAAAGATTTGATGTAAAGAGGAAAGCCTTCTAGTTCTACTACTACTACAACTTCTACTACTACTACTACTACTACTACTACTACTACTACTACTACTACTACTACTAACTACTTCTACTCCTACTATCACTGTAATAACTTTACTACTACTATCTATCACAGGTACATGTTTGGACTATACCACAGCTATTACATCTACTACTGCAGCTAATACTACAGCTACTACTACTATACTACCACTACTACTACTACTACTACTTCTATACTACTACTACTACAACTACAACAGCTACTCCCACTTGTAATAAGTTGACTACTACTACAACAACAACAACAACAACAACTACTACTACTACTACTACTACTACTATACTACTACTACTACTACTGATACTACTACTACTACTACTGCTACTACTACTACTACTACTACTACTTCTTCTACTACTACTACTACTACTACTGCTACTACTACTACTACTTCTATACTACTACTACTACAACTACAACAGCTACTCCCACTTGTAATAAGTTGACTACTACAACAACAACAACAACAACTACTACTACTACTACTACTACTACTTCTATACTACTACTACTACTACTACTACTATACTACTACTACTACTACTTTTACTACTACTACTACAACTACTCCCACTTCTAATATTACTACTACTACTACTACTACTACAACTACTAATTAGCTACTCCTACTACTGTACTACTATATACTACTACTACTGCTACTACTACTACTAAAGCTACTCTCACTTCCTACTACTACTACTACTGCTGCTGCTACTACTACTTGTACTGCTACTATTCCTACTACTTCTCATAAATGTATCACTGTAAAAGTGTGGACGTTACCAATGCTATGGTGCATTATTTCATCTCAAGATGTGGAAGATCTCTCTGCTACTTGTCCATGTCACCATTTTACATGCATCAGATATGTAAGGTCCATACGGTTGTCTCGACAGCACATACAAATTGGAGGTTTACTAACCTCAAAGATATTGACAGTAGACTTTTTTGGAAAAAGATAGCTCTCCAAGTAAACTTTGTCCATTCTAAATGCCTAATTAGTGACAAAGCTTGGATTATCAAGGAATACGAAATTGTGACAAAATTGTGTCATCGAAACAAAAAGAAAATCATAACATTTTCTTGCAAGTAAGCCTTTTTTTATAGCTCAAGTTGACATTTGAACTTTTTCTATAGAAAATTGCACAAAATAATGCAAATAATTTTTCAGACTGAAATGACAGTGCGTACAAAGGCTTTTCACCCACATTGAATCCTGCGGCCCAAGATCATTGATACAAGGAGGTGTTCACAATACCTTTTGTGAAGGCTGCTGCCCAGTCATCCATGGCAGCAGCGTTATGAGTAAGGTTCCATTACACGGAATATGAGTTACTAACTGTTTAATACGAATTACAATGCAATGCCATACAGGTTTTTATCAGTCAATGGGAATCAATCGAAGTTGGGTATACGTTTGTCATACGGACTGTATGCGTACATGATAACTTCTAATATAAACAAATCTTAAATCTACATCTTCCCTCCATTATCCCTACTTTCACTCTCTCTTCCCCCCCCCCCCTCTCTCTCTCTCTCTTTCTCTCTCTCTCTATATATATATATCTCGCTCGCTCGCTCTCTCTCTCTCTCTCTCTGTATATATATATATATATATATATATATATATATATCGCTCTCTCTCTTTCTCTTTGTTTCTCTCTCTCTCTTCATCTCTCTCTCTCTCTCTCTCTCTTGATCAGGCTGCCGTGATTTAATTCTACTCAAGTGCCTTCCACACCCACACTCACACTCGTATAACATATACTCACACAGATTGACATGCATGCACACTAAATTCATTTCAAACCACAATCATGCTTCCCAAACACATTTCTTACCTAATTCCTTCTTTTTCTAACCTCGATCTCTACCGTTTTCTAAATAGCATGCACAGTCCAGTTCATGCACAATATACTATATATTCCTCTCCCCCTATCACCTTTTCCTATTCACACCCCAGCCAAAACCTGTCATCAGATCAATGTTAGAGTCCTAAGAGTTCATTGGTCATAGAGATTGACCAATAAAGCTCTGAGAAGATATTAACACTAGCTCTCAAGAATAAATCATATTGCGACAATTTTCATGAAAAAAGGGATTATTGTTCTAACTTTAAGGGCAACAGTGCGATAATGATAATGATGACGTTGATAATGATAATAAGTATAATAATAATAATACCAATACCAAAGTACACGAATAATAACGATAATAATAATGACAAAATTAAAGCCCATTAGGAATGGTAGATCGATCCCCCGTACACTGCCTCTGTGGTATGTATATGGGCCAAAAAATGGAGAGAAAATTGACGGGTATGCCGTTTACACGTGATCTTTGAACGGAGCCGTTATGCAAATTTGCTATGCGACGCTGGAGATACAAAATAGCAATAGCAATAACTAATATAATTTTTACATTCGTATCGCGTTTGGTGTGCACGCATACACACGACCCCGGAAAGAGTTAAGTTTGGTAGGGCGTGACACCTATTATGCGGGATAGACCACGCTGACTGGAGTGTAAGCAATCTTGTATCTTATAGTAAATTGGCTGTTTTTCGGCGTTATGATATCAGTTTATGCAAGTACCATTGCCAATGATACATGCCAACATTTGACATTGGCGTTGACGTTGAGTGTTTCGTCTCTGTGTACTATAGCAAGTAGGAGAATGATAAACAGAATTGACTTCCCTTCTAAGTTTGATTTGGTGTAACGGTGTACACGCACATCAGATATAAGGGTGTATATATATGTATATATGTATAAATATAGGAGTGTATTTTTATAAACTATAAAATGAAAATATCCGGGGGGTACCCATCTCAAAAAAAAAACTGATTCACCGGTCATGTAATGAAATACTCACAATTATATTTTACAATTACTTCTATTGTATAATCTACACAAATTTGAAAGTATATTCCATCTCTTATTTCCTGGTATCATTTTCAATCTTTTTTTTAAATTCCTAATTCATTAAAATAATTGCATCTTTCCTAATATTACTTTTTTAATAATCTGGTAGTATTGCGACTAAGGCTAAGTCTCGGCTCCTTTTCTCGCCGATAGTATCGATCTCACGAGCTATCTATCTATTTAGATCTTCGTGAAACGATTTAGGAAGATCAGAGACATCTTCGGCGGATAAAGTTATGACGTTGGTTTCTAGGAACGAGCCCGAGGTGCCTATCTTATTCATTTTCAATATTTGCTATTATGAGTACTACTACTACTGATACTACTACTACTACTACTACTACTACTACTACTACTACTACTAGAGCTATTCTCACTTCCTACTACTACTGATCCTATTGCTACTACTTCTCATAAATGTGTCACTGTAAAAGTGTGGACGTTACCAATGCTATGTTGCATGGAAGATATCTCTGTTCACTTGTCCATGTCACCATTTTACATGCATTAGATATGTATGGCCGGTCCATGCGGTTGTCTCGACAGCACATATAAGTTAGAGGTTAACTAACCTGAAATATATTGACAGTAGACTTTTTGGGGAAAAGATAGCATTCCAAGTAAACTTTGTCCATTCTGAATGCTTAGCGACAAGGCTTAGATTAACAAGGAATACGAAATTGTGACAAGATTGTGTTATCATAAGAAAGAGAAAATATTTGCTTGCAAATGATCCCTTTTTTATATCTTGAGTTCAGTTTTTACCTTTCTACGCAATTGCACAAAATAAATGCAAATATGTTTCGGACTTAAATTAAATAACACTGCGTAGAGGCTTTTCTCCCACATTGAATGCTACAGCCAAAACGTATTGGTACCAAGGAGTGTTTGCACAAGGGGGTGTTGACAATATTTTTGAAAAGGCTGCTGTTCAGTCATCCATGGCAGCAGCGTTATGACTTATGAGTAAGGTTTCATTACACGAAATATTTGTGCACTGCCTCTGGCGTTATAAAAATTATCTTTGCAACGCGGGGGGTACAAAGTATCAGAAGTATAATACACCAAAAATTGTACATTCATATCGTGTTTGGTGTGCACGCATACACACAACCCGGAAAGAGTCAAGTAAGGAAGGGCGTGACGCTCATTATGCGGGGAAGATCCACGTTGACTTGAGTGTATATTAATCTTGTTTTTATAGTAAATTGGCTGGTTTTCGGCATTATAATATCAGTTCATACACGTTCCATTGCCAATGATACATGTATGCCAACATTTGACATTGGCGTTGACGATGAGTGTTTTGTCTTGCGTGTGTTCAAGCAAATTGGAGAATGATAAACAGAATTGACTTCCCTTCTAAGTTTCATTTGGTGTAATGGTGCACACGCACATCAGAATATAAGGTAAGCGTATCGAACAGTAGTCCTATACCAATAAGCTTAGTACTGTACGTACTATCAACTATCAACTATCACTATCAACCACGACCTGTTACTCCATCGCTTAGAGAACGACTTCTCCATCACCGGCACCGTACTTCAATGGATTCGCTCCTATCTCATGCACCGAACTCAGAAGGTGATCATCAATGACACCAACTCGGAATCATTTCCCCTCATCTGCGGCGTTCCTCAGGGTTCCGTTGTCGGCCCCCTCCTGTTTATTCTTTACACCAGCCCTCTCTCAAATGTTATTAACCTTCATCAGAATATTCAACACACTATGTATGCAGACGACACCCAGATTTATGTAACTCTTCACCCAAACAGCAGGACAGTAGCCGCGAACAAACTCACCAGTTGCCTCAATGAAATCAAAACCTGGTCTTTTCAAAACTGTCTCTGCCTTAATGATTCAAAATCTGAAATGATTCATATTACTTCTAAATTTCGGAACTCAGACCCCTTTCCTGATCTTGTTATGAGTGATGGCTCTCTCAGTTGTTGTGCTTCTGTGCGTGACCTTGGTTTAAATATTGACAGCAATCTTACTTTCAAACAACACATTAGTAATATTTGTAAGTCTGCTTCCTTTGGTATATATAAGATCAGTAGAATCAGGAGGCTACTTGACCGACCCACAACTTCAAAATTAGTCCATGCTTTTGTCTCGACCCATATCGATTACTGTAATTCTTCTCTTTCTGGCCTCCCTCAGTCACATCTAGTCCCACTTCAAAGGGTACAGAATAGCGCTGCTCGGCTTGTGACTCTCTCGCGTAAATCAGAGCACATAACTCCAATATTGAACTCACTACATTGGCTTAAAATTCACCACCGCATATCCTTCAAAATTCTTCTCCTGTGCTACAAAGCTATCAATGGCTTAGCCCCCTCTTACCTTTCCGATCTCATATCCTTACGTTCCCGTACGTCGTCACGAACACTTCGTTCATCTTCCACATTACTGTTAACACCTGGACCCCGCACTAACACCCGGTATGGTGACCGCGCCTTTTCAGTTATTGCCCCCGCTCTCTGGAACAAACTGCCCGCCTTTATTCACTGCGCCCCCTCTGTATCTCAATTCAAATCTCTACTCAAAACCTATCTTTTCAAATTGTAAATTGCAGTTGTGCGTCGGTCAATGGAGGTGCGCACCATATTTGTCTTTGTCTTTATTTAGTTGATTGCCACTGTTTTTCTTACCTTATCTATGTTACTTTTGTATTTTTGCTTTTTCTTCTAATTTAATTCTACGGGTTATAGTCTTCTCTTAATCAGAACACTGTGCGCTTAGAAACATCAGTATTAAGCGCCTAATAAATGTTATGTATTATTATTATTATTTTACTGGGGGAGGGGGGCGGAGGGGGTGTTAAAAAGGGTTTCTCGGTGTTATTTTGTATAATTTTTAAAATTTTGGATTGTTGTAAACATTCGATGTATAGTGAATTCTCTTTCTTTCTGTTGCTTTATTGTGTTTTTTATTGCTTGAGTCACTTTGTTTATGTATGTTTGTTTCTTTGTTCAGTGATTTAGAGGGGGGGGGGGATTACCCGAATATGGATCTGTCCATTTCGAGTTTTAGAGTAGAAGTCGTATCGATTTAACTGAAGTGCCTGAATTCGCAAGACAATTAAGGTATCCAATTTTCCTAGCCTATCTTAATTTTATCATGATATCACAATATTTGTAAGTAAACATGCATGTAAATGCATGTTAGTTTTCTTTATTCCAAATGAATATGGGTCGAAAAATGATGACTGAAATACCCCAAAATGAAAACAAAAACACTTCCGAGAGAAAATATGTAGGTTCAAGAGCAATGTCAATACTGCTTAGCTAATTGAAAGCATGTTCGGGTCATTTGAGGAGCTGAAAAAAAGCCTATAGTGAATTGGCTGTAAGTTGATTTAGCTGAAAGTCATTGCAAAAGTGTCAAACAAGTCATCTTCTTTATAACATTTTAGTTAATACAAACTAGAGATTATTATTTCCACGTTGTCTCAGGAATAGATCCATGCCAGTTCACCTAAATATATATATTTGTTTGAATGATCAATTAAATCGCTGTTGTCTTTCAACATGATCTTCTTAAAGCTTAAATCAAGTTAATGTCTAGAATGTGAATATACAAAATGTACTGAAACTGGTTGAGCTACTGAGTAATGATGACAATAACAATGTCGATTAGGGGCCTACCCTATTCATTTTCAATATTTGCTATTATGACTACTACTACTACTACTAATACTACTACTACTACTACTACTACTACTACTACTACTACTACAACTACAACTACTACTACTTCTACTACTATCTATACTACTATTACTACTACTTATACCACTACAACAACAATTACTACTACTAATACTACTACTACTACTACTACTACTGCTGCTACTACTACGACTTCTAACTACTATACTGTAACCACCACCACTACTACATATACTTCTACTACTACTACTACTCCTACTATTTATACTACTATTACTACTACTACTACCACTACTACAACAATAACTACTACTACTACTACTACTACGACTTCTGACTACTATACTGTTACAACCACCACTACTACATGTACTTCTACTGCTACTACTACTCCTACTATTTATACTACTATTACTACTACTACTTCTACAACAACAACAACAGCTACTACTACTACTACGATTGTTACTGCTACTACTACTACTACTACTACTACTACTACTACTTCTAACTACTACTACTTTTACTGTGACTACTACAACTACTAACACTGCTACTTCTACTACTAATTCTACTTCTACAACAACGACTACTACTACTGGTAGTGATACTATTACTACTATACAAATGCAATTATAACTATATTCAGGTACAACTTATAGCCAATACTACTACTACTACTACTACGACTTCTGACTACTATATTGTTACAACCACCACTACTACATGTACTTCTACTACTACTACTACTACTACTACTACTACTACTACTACTACTACTACTACTCCTACTATTTATACTACTATTACTACTACTACTTCTACAACAACAACTACTACTACTACTACTACGATTGTTACTGCTACTGCTACTACTACTACTACTGCTCCTACTACTACTACGACTACGTACTCCTACCACCACTATTACTTCTTCTACTACTACTTCTGCTGCTTCTAATACTACTAATATTACTTCTACTACTAAAAATACTACTTTTACTATTATACAAGTAATACTTCTACTATATGTTCCCATTCATTTCTTATGTCAAACAAAACTTACCAGGTAGTTTACGAGAAAAAAAACACACCAAAACACACATTTAGTTTTAACAAAATTTCAAGTACTACTATTGAATACTAGAAGTAAAATTAATACTAATACAATTAAGTACTACTACTAAAACAAAATATTACAAAAATAAAAAACGTTACTTATAAAGCGCTTACCACCGAAGTCTCTAAGCGCTAGTCTACTACTACTACTACTACTAGTACTGCAGCTACTACTAATAAAACTATATCTACTATATTACTACTACTACTACGATTACTACTCAGATTTGGTTTGGACGGGGGTGTGCGGCTGAAGATTCTAAACCCATGACCGTTTTTGAGGGCCATCAATTTTTTAGCCCAAAATGGTGCCCATTATTAAGGGTCAGAAAGTTGTACCCGGAAGTTGTAGTGGCATAGCCAAAGTTGTGATCCTTCGTTTATTGCTTAAGCCCCCATCACATCAAACTAGTTCTCACTACGTTCTGAAACCGTCCTAGAAAATCGTAAAACGGTTTGTGGTCGGGGAAGAACGTGTAAAAAAGGTGTATAATACGATTCTGGTTCGTTCATTCACAGTCCTCAATATTTCCATCTCATCTGTACCCCGTCCACAGTCAGTTCATATCAAGTTCAGATCGGGTAAATTTGCCATTTCCAGGCAGTCCAAACCATTCTTGGAACAGCACCCCCCAACAAAAATGTCCTTTGGTTGACATTTTCTACTTCTTCTTGAAAGCCCATGGCTGGATTCCATCCAAAGTTCTGGCTTAACATTGTAAGAATCATTTTAATGTGGGTATATGCCCTCCAGGGGGCCTGGGGCAGCCTTCAAAATCCACCATCCAGACAGCAATGCCAGCACGAGAAAAATGACCACTACTAGTACAACTACTGACTAGTTACTCCTACAATCACTACTACTATGAATTATTCTCATACTACTACTACTACTACTACTACTACTACTACTACTATAGTTTTATTTTCCAGTCATTGTTTATGAGAAACAAAACGTACCAGGTACTTTTTAAAATAAAACAATGTGTGCTGTTCAGAGTGACTATTCTATTTTTCTTGTTATTTATATAGTTGCACTCTTCAGCTGACAATTTTCCATAAATGTGTTACTGTATAAATGTGGACTTGACCAATGCTATGTTTAATTACTTAATATAGGGCCCCCCCCCTTCCATTATTCTTCCAGATCGTGGCTTGTTCCTGTGACTGAGTCAATTGATTCGCCAAGATGCCTGTATCACTAAGTGAATGGAGGGTCCGAATCGGAACATTTGTTCATTGGATTAGGGAGTATGAGGTAAAGGAGAGGAGAGAAAGATTGCTGAAAGAAAGGATTCGAAGACTGAAGGTTCTTTGCGAGAGACTTGAAGCGAAAATTGGTGATTCTGGAGAGGAGTCCGAAGATGACAAAAGCAGACAAGGTGATCCTGATCCCAAGGGATGTCCTCATACAACTTCAAACATTCGGTCGTCAGGAAACTCATCAGATATCAAGAATTTACTAACTTCATGTGATCAGTGCATACATGATTTATTAACGGCAAGTGATTCTCATATCAAGGAGATACTCACCCCTTCTGATACATGTATTAAACAATTGCTGACACCAAGGAGAGAAAGATTGCAAAGGATTCGGAGACTGAAGGTTCTTTGCGAGAGACTTGAAGCGAAAATGGGCGATTCTGGAGAGGAGTCCGAAGATGACAAAAGCAGACAAGATGATCCTGATCCCAAGGGATGTCCTCATACAACTTCAAACATTCGGTCGTCAGGAAACTCATCAGATATCAAGAATTTACTAAATTCATGTGATCAGTGCACACAGGATTTATTAACAGCAAGTGATTCTCATATCAAGGAGATACTCGCCCCTTCTGATACATGTATTAAACAATTGCTGACACCAACTGATTCGAACATTAGACATTTGCTCTCTCTAACAAATTTGTGTAGAAAGGACCAGCAAACAGCACGGGACTCTCATAATGAAGATGTTACCATGCTTACACCAACCGATTCAAACATCAGGGAGTTAATAACACATTCTGATTCATGCTTCCGAGAGCTACACATGTCAGCTGATGCTTGTACAGATGATATGCTATCTGATTCTGACGTCAAAGATTTACTAACACCAAGAGACTCCGCCATCTTTGAGATACTTCAGCCAAAATATTATTGTACGAACAGGTTACTTACACCAAAAGATTCCTTCATCCAGACGTCACTACCTAGAGATTCTTGCATCGAGGAGTTACTTACACCGAGAGATTCTTACATCCGGGAGTTATTATCAGTAAATTCCCACAACGACAAGTCACTTTCACCTGGAGACGGCTACATCCAGAAAATGTTTACTCCAAGAGAATCCTGCACAAGTGAGTCACTTACAACAGGGGATGCCTACATCCAGGAGTCACTTACACAAAGAGACTCCTATATTCAGGAGCTACTTACACCAAGAGATACCTACACCAATGAGTCACTTACGCCAGGACATTCCTACACCAATAAGTCACCTACGCCAGGAGACTCCTACATCCAGGAGTTACTTACACCAAGAGATTCCTACACCAATAAGTCACTTACACAGAGACATTCCTACACCAATACGTCACTTAATCCAGGAGACTCCTACATCCAGGAGTTATTAGCACTAAGAGATTTCTACACCAACGAGTCACTTACACCAGAAGACTCCTGCACCCAGGACTCCCTTTCTCCTAGAGATTCTGACATCCGGGAGTTATTGACACCTAGAGATTCGTACACAATTGAACCACTTACACAAGGAGACTCCTATATTCAGGAGTTACTTACACCAAGAGATTCCCACACTAACGAGTTACTGACGCCAACATATTCCTATGCTAATGAGCTACTTATACCAGGACATTCCTTCACCAATACGTCACTTGCACCTGGAGACTCCTACACCCACGAGTTATTAGCACCAAGAGATTCCTACACCAACGAGCCACTTACACCAGGAGACTCCTGCACCCAGGACTTCCTTACACCTAGAAATTCAGACATCCGGGGATTATTGACACCAAGAGATTTTTACACCATTGAGTCGCTTGCACAAGGAGACTCCTACATCCAGGAGTTACTAACACCAAGAGATTCCTACACCAATGAGCCACCTAGACCAGGACATTCCTACACCAATAAGTCACTTACTGGTGTAATTGGACTTGAATCACCTAGGCAAGGGGACAACAAATCTTCACCTACATCTAGCTTAAACAGGGACGCCGTACAACATGGACCCTCAGGTGGAAAGGTAAGCAGTGTTTCTGATCGTATGTGTCCACTAATTTGTTTAATAATTTGTTCATTTTTATCCTAATTTCACTGACATTGGAAACAAAAAAGCAATGTCAATGTGCAGATATATGTAAAGGTTAATCTAAATCATGGCATATGCTCCGCGACAATTGCTCGTTTGTTAAGTTGAATATTCCAGTTAGTGCCCTGGTACGAAAGACAAGGAATGTATAACATTAATAAAAGTCCTTCAATTTTGATGTCCTAAGAACCAACAGCAACCCAAACCATAACCCTAGTGGTAGCTTTAAAGACATATAGGTGGGCTCTTATGGGAAATTCGACGCCATTTGAATGTTGTCAATCACCAGGATAAGCTTTCAGTTTTATAACCAACAGGCTTCATGTAATGCTCTCCGAGAGACGAGGGGGTATTTCTAGATTGGCCTACGGGTTTGCTGTGTGTAGACTTGCTGTGTACACCTATTTATGGAATTTCCACGAAGTATTTCCACGAAGTCCGGTACGGTGTCAGCGAATTATGACCCTGTGCACATGAAAAATGACGACCCACTCCCTTTTACAACTTTAATTTGAACCCTGTGTAAAAACTCCACCGGAGCAAATATCTGATTCCTAAAATTACTCCTCCGATTAAACACCTATCAGCTAATTTAACCGTCTATTCGTACTATAAATATGCCCTACTTATTAGGCCATGCAACGTTCATAATTAACCCATGCCCTGTATACTTTATTTTTCATAGATTATTGGACTAATTGGAATATCTTTTAATTTGCAGGAGATGGCAAACACATCATCAAGATCATCATGCCACAAAACAGATAGCTTGAAAGGAACAGTTGATGTGATGTTATCACAGCAGCCGTACCTGACTGAGTTACTGCTTGTTAAAGCGGGGGATGTGGAGCTCAATCCGGGTCCTCTTCACGGGTAATACAATTTAAATTAAATGAATTAGCACATACACCATATTATGCACCATGTACACAGCAAATAATGCACACCCACGCATACACACATTCACCTCACACGTGCACAACCATATTATATATATATATATATATATATATATATATATATATTCATGTATATATAAATATGGTTCACAACATCATATAGAATACAAATTAGAGGAGCATGGTTTTAACCTCACAATCGCTTTCGATTTATTCTCATCATATGTGTGCATGGCGTGTGTGTGTGTGTCCGCGCACGTGTGTGTGTGTGTGAAAGCTAGTTTGCTCTTTTGCCGAGGTACCTTAAATCTACAAGCCTTTGTCGTCCTCTGCATTTCCAAACATTTTTGTCTTGTCTTTTTTGTTCAGGTGCTTTTTAAAAGTAAAACAAAATTGAATTATTCAATTTCTTTTACACTACGGACTTTAAAAAAGCAAATGTTACTTCTTTATGATCTAAGTCATGTTGCATTTATTTGTTTTGTAATTTCGTTCAAACCGATTTTCAACCATGTCCTGCACATGTAAACATGTAATATGATTTAACTTCATGTTTGGAAATGAAAATAAATGAAATTAAATAAATTTGTATACCCTTTTCATGAGTAAAAATATGAAAGTACTTTTTTTTCTTGAATACATCGATTTTGATCTACTTTCAATTATTCTTTTTTTCTTCTTCAGACCGATAGATAGTGTACTGCAGGAGAATGAACTCATATTGCTCGCTGAAGAAGTTCCAGTCAACTGCTACAATAAACTGTGCACTGGTCTTGGTTTCAGCTTAACACAGAGCCAAACTGTACTAACCCAACATCTTCTCAACTTCCCAGGAGCTTTGATCAACTTCTTCTGCAGATGGAAAGTCAAGCAGAGAGATGGCACCAATATTCGAGCACTTCTTGGAGAAATTCTTAAAAACGCTGATATGGATGGACTTCAGACAAAATTATTGAAAGGTAGCCTTTGCCACTGTACTTGGCATGTCTTTTTTGTTACATTAATGTTATCATTTCATGCGTAATCACAGAGGTACATGATATCGATAAATATTGTGATACACACACAATGGACAGTAAGAAAGATAAGAACACGTGGGAAAAAATATTCGCATTAAAAACATATTTTATCAAAACAAACTCAAAAAGGAAAAGTATTATCAGCCGAGAAAATTATTGCTTAGGCGTGCCAATGTTATCCACATAAAAGTTCTTTACTTTATTGCGCTGTAACAACTTGGAAGGAAAGAGAAAGGTTCGGAAGTATATCCCAGGTTTGCTTACTATTTATATAATTTTCAGACTTATGCTCGACCCCCACCCCCCCCCCCCGAGAAATACACTGTTTTGGATATGGTATGTGGACATTTTTTACAACATTAATTAGTAAAACATTAACTGTTCTTTTATCTATGTACTTTTATTTCCGTTCTTAAGGTGAATATCTTACATCTGGAATCTCACCGTCTAGTAAGTGAACATTACACATTTTACACAACAAAAAAAAATCGTTCATAATGTCTCATCAATAAAAAATTCCAATTGAAATAATTGTAGCTAAACTGAAGTAGTTCCAGAACAATGTAGGTTTGGTTTAGATAAATATCATATATCTCAATGTAAAAATTAATTAAGATACTCTGTTCTCTCATTCTCTGTTCATATTAAGAATAAAATTATATTAGGAGGGACTTTGTATTTAAAGTGAGCTCCTTAGACATATTACTTGCCAAATTTGAAATGTAATTTGTTCTGTTGTGTATTCCTTACTTTTATTAAGAGCATTAATCAATGTTATGTTAATCATCTATTCATTATATATCTATAATATACCGTCGAAGACTGATATTAATTGCATGATCGACCCATATCATTTCATTTCCAATGGGTTGTGTTTCAGGATGTGCTGCAACCCTGTAGATATTTGGTTTGTCCTTATATTCACCACCCAAAGATGTCATTTGCCTTTCTGGACGCGTTAGGCATTTAATATCTGTGTCCTTATTTGTAACATCTATTGAAATAGATATTTCGTTGAATTAACATGAATTGTTTTTAATCTCCGTACAGATCCAATACTAGATACTTCCCTACAAAACATGACTGAGGCACAGGTTCTCCAGTGTGGGGAAGAGTTGAAGACATTCTACAGCGAAAAAATGTGCAAAATCAAACCTGACCCGCTTAATTTCAATATCATCGTTGAATTCCAACAAATTTACACGAACTTAACGCTGCTCAGGAACGAAATGGGAACAAGGCAAACCAAAACGCCACTGGATTACAATGATCTTCTTACAACAAAGATTAACGGAGTGCTTCCTAAACGTCTTCTGGTTGAAGGTGAAGGTGGTGTTGGTAAAACGACCTTCTGTTCGAAGATCGCATGGGATTGGGTTAATGGATCTCCAGAGTTTCAGCGCTTTAGTTGGGTTCTGGTTATACCCCTGCGCAACGTTGTCAAGGGTCACACAATTGGGGATATCATGAAAAACTATCTCTCAGACAGTAATGCGGTAAACCCTAAACAGATCGATAATTACATATTGTCTCAACCTACAAAGGTTCTGATTGTACTTGATGGACTTGATGAGTATGATGGGGACCTATCTGCCGAAGAAAGTTCAGATATTTCTCAGATTCTGCGATTGGAGAAATTCAAGGAATGCATTGTTCTGGTGACAACAAGACCGTGGAGGGCGGATCAGATCAGATCCAATGAAGAATCGAGTAGGTCCTATGCTTTCATTGCAATAAAAGGATTTAGTGCTGAAAATATCTCGACATACATCAGCAAGTACTTCGTAAACGATGAAAAGGCTGGATCAGAACTGATTCGGTTTATTGAAGTGAATGATGTAATCAAAGAGAACATGGCCCCTTTCCCGATTTACGTAGCAATGTTATGCATCTTATGGGAAAATTGTGACAGTGCGAAACGAGAAACAATACGTAAACTGAAGACATTTTCTCAGTTATTTGAACAAATGATCATGTTTCTAAGAGACCATCATATATTAAAGGTCACCAATAGGTTACGTAAAGCACATCTCGACAAGGAAATGGAAAATACCAAGCTTTGTTTTCAAAGAATAGGATCGATTGCATTCTCAGGACTCCTGAAAAAGAAATTGGTTTTTAATGAGGAGGACTTCAGCTCGTGTAAGGAAGCCATGGATACATGTTGCAGAATCGGAGTTCTAAGTCAGGAAAATCTAACAATATGCAGATTGAAAAGATCTTTGTCTGCTTCACAGTCTGTATTAACCACTAGTGTCTTCTTTCCTCACAAATTATTTCAAGAATATATCGCGTCTTTTTATCTTGCCTCTCTATATGACACAAATCGGAAAAAGTACTGTAGCTTAATAGGCAAAGTACTGAGCAAGAAACCACAAGAATTCCGCTACCTCTTGTATTTCACCGCTGCCCAGGAAAAGAGGGTGGGTCTTGATATTGTCACGAAAATACAAAAAAGAAGAACAAACAATGATTTTCTAGCAGATGTCACTTTTGAAGCGTTTAACAATGATACAGCGAAAGCAGTAGGACAACGGATATTTGCAGACGAGAAACTGTTGACCTTCGATAAAGACATGCCTGCTCACACAGTATCTGGTTATCTATACATCATGGAGCAGCATGGAATGGTTTGTTGTAGCAGGCGCGTAACTAGGATTTTAGTGGGGGGGGGGGGGGGGGGGGGGGGGGGGGGGGGGGGGGGGGGGGGGTTGTAAGTGTATTTTTCCCCTCATTGGGTAGGGAAAATTTAGGCAGTTTTCTGTCTCAAAAATCAAGTTTTAGGTACAAATTTAAACGCCCAAAACAATTTCGCTAATAACCGTGTCCTCCCTACCGATGTAGTTTGCATTGCAGGATTGATTCCTTTACCAATTTCAGATTGAGCTCCTTCCTCCTTGGTAAATGCATACATGCTACAAAACAGAACCAGTACATGTAAAGTATGGTACAGTACGTACCAAGTAACATACCGTTCCACTCATAATTACTTCCCATCAGCAGTAGATAACAGGTGCGGCGCGGGCCGGAGCTGGCGGCGAATGGGGTATTTTTTAGGTGGTTAATTTATAGTTGGTGTTTTTGTAGTTTTTTTTTTAGCAGACCTCTTATTGCTAGCAGCGCGGCTTTGGGGGGGGGGGGAATTCGCAAGCACCCTCCTTAGTTACGGGCCTGTAAATCACTGCTGACTTCTAGGCAGTAAAGCAAAAAATATTTACTCTACATAGTTCAAAAACGCAAAGGTGTGCGTGGAGTCAACATTGAATTAACACAATGGAAAATGTGCAGTTCATTTAGACGTGTAAATCTTCCTACAAATGAATACATTTTGACAGGCATATTTTGCTAAAATATCTCTTTTTGTGGATTGACAGGCGGGATGTAGTGTATAAAACAACTACTGCTTATTGTCTGGGTCACACTTAAAACCATAGCTTCTCTACAATATGGAGACTGCACTATGTCTCTCGACCTTCCCTCATGCAAAGTAATGTTTTGATATCACCTTGGGAAACCTCAAAGCAATCAATATTAGGGCAACCTACAAAAGTGTGTGCATCTTGAACAGTGTGTAGCCGGTGTACAAACCTTCATTACAACATTAAAACTTATCCAGTGTTGTAACAATTTCTTTCATAAATGTATGTCAAAGCTAGGAAACTAAAACAGAATGACATTCAGATTGTAGATTGAATGAAATGTTGGTCCATGAATCTATGTTGGTTCATGTGTATATGTCATAACTCATAACTACTGGTTATTCATGGTATACATGTAGGTTCGATTGAAAGAAACATGAATTGTATACACAATGACATAATCATAATATATAACATTACATGTACATCTAGGTAAAGACATATTGCGGCAGTTCTTCATCAGTTATTGATTGTTGTAATTGTTGCTTTCATAATTTCAGACACTGTACACTTTCCACACTTGGTCTTGAAAGGGTGCACCCAGGTATATCCGTCCTGGCACACATCGACTTGTATTTTGTTGCAAGCAACTGTATTAATGTAATTCTGTTAAAAGATTATGTAATTTATTATAGAAGCTTTGCATTAACATTAACTTGGTCGACATTTATTGCCAGTTGAATGTCATTGATTGTTTATAACTATAGCCTGAGAGAGAATTACTTGTATACTGAAACTGACAATTCAAATAATGGTTACATGTATGATGTATGTATATAGGTCTATATATATTTATATATACACACAAACTTTATATCTATATATACAATGTATACCTGTATAACCTGTCAGCATCATTCTAGCAATAAGACTTGTATAGTAATTATAGCATGTTTATGTATATTTCAGGAGACTTTGGTGTTCAGAGACAGATCATGTGGCCCGACTGTATCACGTGACCTAGCAGATGTCCTGCTTGCATCAAAATCATTATCAAGATTAGAGTTTTATCGAACAACACTGGACCATGACTTCTACCAGTTAATGCATACACATGTTTCTACAATGGCGGTAAGTATATTAATGATTACAATGCATCTTTATCAGACAAATTTTAGACATGGTTCAGTGTAAATAATACTTTCATTTTGTGTTCGAAAACATTACGTTGGGACGTGTTGGAACTGGGGCCAACTAGCCCCCAAATGTAGCTACGCAGACTACCTGCATATACCCCAAACAAGCACGTTTACCTCTTTACCACTTTTAAAAAGATATTTTAAAAATGTGCACATTTCATCGCTTATAAGGCCTGGCATGGAATTATTGTTGTATCCAAATAAAGCAGAATAAAGGGTGACATTATTTGGAGAAGAGTGTGTGTGTGGGGGGGGGGGGGGCAACTAGCATGGATTTTTTAAACAATATTAGTTCTCCAAAATGTAGGCTACCTGTATATACGCCAAACAAGCACGTTTTCTCTCTTACCGTCAAGTTATTTTTTAAATATGCACATTTCACCCATTGTTGTCTTCATCGCTTGGGATGGAATTAGTATTGTCTCCACTGATTTATCAGGACAAAGGGTGACATTATAAGGTAGGGAGTGGCTGAAGAGGGAATATCTACAACTTTAATTATTGATTTTGTACTATTGGGATTAACTTTTTTTAAGTCTTGAAAATGCCTTAAACATAACAAAAAAAATAGAACAAAATCAGAATCTCTGTTTACGTAAAGGTTCTAGTCGAGGGAGCGTAGTGACTAAGCAAAATGGTTGATTACTTAATTTTATCATGTGAATGAGACAGAAAAAACCCAACCAATTGCCCCCTCTTTTGTAGAGAAATTAGTCCCTGTGACGGAAGGGGCCAGAAAGGATTGTGCGCCTCTGTGAGACAGTGTTTCTACAGTCTTAACTTATACTATTTTATTGTGCATGTACCATTTATTGGAGGAGAAATTGTATGCTTATGGAGGGTGAAAGTGCAAATTAGCTTTAATCCAAAATGCTTATTGTCTCAAGCAGGCGCGTACACAGGGGGGGGGGGGACAAAAAAGTGTCCTCTTACCCCCCCCCCCCCCCCCCGCTTATTCAGCGGCTGGCTGAGTAGTTGCGAAATATTCGGCCCGATTTATAAATGTTAACCCCCCCCCCCCCCCCCCCTTGAAAAAAATCCTGTGTACGCGCCTGGTCTCAAGGTGGGCAATAAGTATTTTCCCCACCCTTTATTGAATTGATAAAATAAACATTCACTTTAATGATAATACTACGAATGGTAATAATATTGATAATAATATATGAGAATCGCAAGGCGCTGAGTCCACTTGAAATCAATTTTTCAAGGCGCACGTGTAAAATAAAGAGAAGAAGAGGAAATCGCACATACGCATCTGCATTATAAACATTAAAGATAAGACATAGGAAAATAAAAGAACATTATTGATCATATACTTTGTTAAAGGGAAAGTCCACCAAGATTCAAATTGGATTTAATACAAGCAAAAAAATGAGGTAAACGGATCGGGGAACGTTTGAGCAAATTCCGATTAACAGTAAGACGGTTATGAATTGTTGAGGGTGCTATCAATCATATATAAATTGGCAACACTCTGACATATCTTGCGAGCTCCTCTCCAATTTGCGCTGTACATTAAATTTCATAATCTTTCATTTTCTTCATTATTGATGACAGATTTTTTTTTTCTATACAGGGGTTGTATCGAAACATATTTGCCATAATTATATTTAGGGTGCACGTATGATTTAAAATTTCCGTGAGGGAAAATAAAAATTTCAGATTTTTCAAAGTAGAGAAAAAATGAAAAGGGAACTCCCAAAATACCTAACAGAGTTGCCAATTTGTATTTGATATTGATCGCAACTTCAAATTTCATGAGTTTCTTCTTTTTAATCGGAATTTACTTAAACTTTAAATGACCCGTTTTTTGATATTTTCTGTAAGATATATATCTTTAGGGAAATAACATCTGCTTCATCAAGCAAAAGTTGTATTTACGATTCTTTTTCCTTTTCATCGGATGGGAATTTCTGTCTGTATTGCATTGTAAACATGACTAATCGGTCATTCTTTTTAAACTTTGAATAAAAGCTTATATTATATGAAAAGATTTATTGATAATACTCTACTTCATTGCCATTTTGCACACAGGGAGGTAAATCCTCAATCAAAGAGGTGGTTGTAGATCATCAATTCCTAAATGGTCTACAGAGGTTTAATGGTGGTGACATTAATGTCACAGTTGAGGGCCTATTCCCGAGCTTGAAGCAACTGACATTTACCACTCTTCAAACTGTCTCACCAGGAGTTGTTAAACGGTTGGCACATTCCAGCCTAGCAGTGTTGTCTATTGAGCGTGGTAAGAAAGGGAAAAACCTAGTTCCTCTCATTGGAGAACCTACTTCACTGGGGCAACTTTTCTCTAGTTCATTCCCACAGCTCACATGTCTGACCTTTCAAGAGCTAGTAATGGGCAACATACGCAGTGAAGCAATACTACGTAATCTAATGAACCACCTGCATTTGAAATCAATGAGGTAAGTAAATCAGGGCCATGTTTGCAGAAATCGTCATTATTTGCAATGATAATGAAAATAATAATGATAATAATACTTTTAATGATAATATTTGTAATGACAATAATAATAATAGACATGATACTACTAATGACAATGATTCAAAATAATAAATACATCAATAAATAAATGAACAATAAAAATAACGTAGTGAAATTAAAGAAACGGATAGGCAAATATGTATAAATTATAGAAAAAATACCAATAAATCACTCAAATGGTTTCAATTTCTGACAGCAATCAGAATTTTGAAAGCTTGTGTAAGCTTGTGAAAGAGTTTTCTGCCCTAACAACGTTGTCAATTAGTAAATTTATTTCTAGAATAATTATTGCAAGAGTCAGTTATGATAAAGTAAAAAGGGACTTCACGCAAATATAAACTAAAGAAATTAATCTTGTTGATTAAAAAAGTTATGATCCTTGCATAACCACCTAGAACATTTATAATATGGGGGATTTTTATTATACCCTACTACTATATTCGTTTTGATATAATAGACGTATCGAACATTTTCTAAATTGAAAATCTAAATGAAAATTATAACAAGAAAACCCCAGTAGCTGGTATACAGCCTGTTTGGTTATATCACTGGGTACTTTATCCTTCTTCAATTCCTTTAAACATTCAGTGATTCAAAATGTTTAAATAAGTACTTTTCTTGAACATATAATTATGTTGTATAGTATCATCAAATGTTTTACGGATGACGAATTGGACCCCCTGGCTGAACAAATAACTGCTGAGAAAAGGATGAAAATAACTCTTCGACATGACACGGTAAATGTTTTTGTCACATCGTCTTTGTTGCTCCCAAATACGTTTTTAGAGTGTTAAATTATGATACATAAAGGGAAGTCAGTCGCGGATCCAGGATTTCTTAGGGGTG